TTTCCTAAGACGCATCCTCTGCAGGTTGCTATGGCCCTCGCATTGTCAGAACAAATTTTAGCTTCCATGTTTTAGAACAATATCAAAAAATTTGCTTTTCACTTATTCATAGTTGGTACCATCTAGAGGTTTTCGACTCAAAATCATTTCTAAGATATTTTCTGAAAAACATATAAAGCACACAATTACAAACAAATAATGCAATAAACAAACGAAGTGCGAGTAGATTCTCATAACTACTCTTGTTTATTGTTAACAATCCTTCAGTTTATCTTTACAAGGCTTACGATGGGCAAGTCACTTGTAAAAACCAAAATTGTTATTTGGGCCTTCAGTGCCATTGCCAGAGCCTCGATGGGAGGGTTAACAATTTTACCAAAGTTGAATGTAATTAACCATTGTTTAATTTCAAAATTATCCTTAGTGTCTAAGCATTGCCGACGATGGGCCGTACAATACTTTACTAAAATTTTGAAATTATTAAGATTTAATCTAGTGAAATCTGATTATCCTTATCCGATGGGGCTTCAGCGATAACCATTTCACTAATAAACCCACAAATGGAGCCCGCAGGTTTTAAAATTAATTAATTTTTAAAACCTTCACCCATTCAACATTTTTGTTTGAGAATTTTCATAAGCCCAGTCGAATTCATTGTTTAATTTCAAAATTATCTTTAATAACTTAGTATTATCGACGATGGGCCGTACAATACTTTATTAAAATTTTGAAATTATTAAGGCCCAATAAAATCCAATCATGCTTATCCGTTGGGGCCTCACATGATTATTTTATTGATAGGCCCACAATGCGCCTGGAGGTTAAATTAATTTCTTAATTTAAATCTCCTCCCATAGATATTTAAGTCCAATCTAATAAAATCCAATCATGCTTATTCGATGGGACTTCACATGATTATTTTATTAATGGTCCTATAATGCGCTTGAAGGTTAAATTAATCTCTTAATTTAAATCTCCTTCCATTCAACATAAGCAACATTTTCTAATTTCCAAGAATTATTTAATTGAGAGTATCCTTTGTTCGATTTCAAAAACTATATAAGTAAGAGCGCCGATAAACGTGCACTAAGCTTAACATAATTTTGAAAGTATTAAGGTCCTGAAATCCGGTCACTTTACGTCAGCGTGTGCTCCAAACAATCATGATACATGAATGTTGTATGCAGCGTGTGTTATTCCATGACCATTTCAGAAAATCCACAAATTACTCACAAAATAAAAGAATTCTCTTAGGAAATTTTCTCTAATTATTTTTCTAGATTTAAATCATCCAAACAGCTGACTTAATTAGTAATCTAGATTGCAACAATCATAATAATTATCATTTATAAGGATAATTTGAAATCAAAATAATTTCCATAACGATTATTTGTCTTGATGTTAATTATCCAAAATTAATTAATTCAATTATTAATCTAGGTTTTCAATAAAAATCATAATAATTATTAATTAATTTCTTAGGATGATTTAAAATCAAAATAATCCCATAATAACTATCATACTAGTACATAATAGCTATTATGCTCATGCAATCATACAAGTTATGCAACAATATGGCACCACCTATTCTATATGGCATGTTATCACAATAAAGCATGTTATCAATCATATAATTTATACCAATCAATAAAAGCATTAAATAATAAATCATAATTACTTTAATCCATGGCCTTCCTATTTTAAAGAAAATAAAATAAAATAAAATTAAATAATACAACTTTGGAATTCAACTTTCGCCTAGCCCATAGTATCTGTCTCAAGCCCCTTTAGGGTTTCATGGGCCCAAAAGCCCAAAGACCCAATCCTTTGGCAAGAAACCCTAGGACGCGAAAGAGGAACCCTAGCCGTCAGGTCTGCCGCGCCGTCACCCGAAGTCAAATCAGGCTGAAACTCCAGGGGAAGGACCGCCACGTAGAGACGAGTGCACCGCCGCCGTAACCACCCAAAAAGGTGGCCGGACGCTCTCTCACTCTCCCATTCTTTGCCGGAGAGTGGCGGCCACTCTCAGAATCTTGTGGAGGCGCGTGTAAACTCAGATGGCGGTAATCCACCCACCGTTGCGTTCGTCTTTCCGTCCTCTTTCCAACCATATATAGATCGCCTCATTTCGAGATCGGGAATACCTCGAAAAGTCTCTGACTGTACTGACTGCGCATCTTACTCGCGGTTTCTCGATCTTGAACTTTTACAAAATATTGGAAAAATACACAGAAATTCCAAAAATAAACAAAAACAGCAAGGAGGAAACCTAATCATATGGGATTAGCCTCCTTGTTACAAATCGAGAAATACACGAGAGATCCTAACCATGGATTAAAGCATTTTTACCGATTAAAATTTAAACTTTTATGAAAATGAATTATAAAATACACATGCTAGATTCATACCATAATCCTAGAACCCTAGGTGCCACATTTCAAGAAGCAAAACTAATTACATGAATAGTGAAACTAGATTCACATACCAATGTACAGCCCATGCTCTGATACCAATTGAAGGAAATCTTAGATTTATGCGGAAGCGGTTTAGGACCTAGTACATTGGTATGCTTACCGAATCATCATCGTTTCACAATTACCTCTCGGTGCGCAGGTCTCGTGTAGAATCTTCCCTTGTAGGATTCCTCTTCACGAACAGCTCACCTCAGCGCCGCAGCACGAACAACCTCCTTGAAGCTGGACTGTGGCAGATCTTCCAGACTATCTCTCGAGGAGGATGAGATGGTTGTGTGGGCAACCGTTCAGATGATGAACGTCTGCCTTTTGGGGTTTGTTTCTGATGATCTATTCACCTTGGAGGCACAAGAGGAGAAAACCATGAATATATACGCTTAGGTCTTAGACATAACTCAACCCTAAGCCTCATGGGCTCAAGTTTCACTGAAGCCCAATAGGACTTTAGTGACCAAAAGAGCATATATCCAACAGTTTTGACTTTGATGATTTGTCTATTCTTGTGAGGATATGTTTCACATACACTATGAGTATAACTTCTGTTAAGGATTTTTTTTATACGATAACTTTATTGAGATTAATTAGCATAATTATCCTAATTTGATTATCTATTAAGACAATAATTAATTCTGCATTTACAAATTATTTTTATTATGTATGAGTAAAAAATATTTCTTATTTTGAACATGGCTTAAGAAAAAAAGAAAAAATTGAACATGGCTTCCAGTGAAAATCTAATGAAGGCAACTGTGAAGTTTCTAACTAAATAAAATAGAAATAGATTCTCTTGTGATAAAATTTTAACATAATTCGCAACACTAAGATTAGCCTAGTGGTGTTGGATGTGTGTAGTGTGTATTAGGTTGCAAGTTCGATTCCTATAATATTCAAACAAAATTTTTTTTTAATTCATACCGGTGTAATTAATTTCTTGCGGTCAAACATGCAATGAATGTGATCTAAAAAGAAATTTTTTTTTTTTGATGAACCAAAAAGAAAATTTTATTCATTATCTACTGCGCGTTTCATTCCTTTATATATTATTGAATTTGTTGACTGCAGAGGTGTATGACCTACGATTAGACTTTCTACGAAGCGAAAAAAAGAGAGGATCATAAATTAAAAATAAATAAAAATAAAAATAAAAATAAATAAATGAATCATTGTTAAATTATGTTATTTTCCTTTATTTAATAAAATAAATGTGGAAAAATTTCATTCTTTTAAAAGATATAATTTTGTGTCATCTTAGATGAAACGACGTTGTTTTGGTGAATAATTAATGATTTTTTGTATTTTCTCTCTTCCACTTTCTATCTCTTCTAATTTTATAGGAGAGAGAATGTAAAAAATTATTAATTATGCATTAAAACAACGTCATTTCATCTAAAATGACATAAAATTATATTATTTAAAAGAATAAATATTTTTTTCATAAATAAGAAATAAAATAAATACGGAGAAGGAAAGCAAAATAAAATAAAAATTTATCCTTCCTAATCACTAAAGAGAGAGAATGGATCTATGTTGCACCGACACCAACACGATACATGAGATACGACACGACACTCCGACACGTTAATTTTAAAAAATATTAGATTTCGACACGTTAGGACACATTTTGATATTAGATAATATTTTTAATTTATGTAGTATATATTATATTTAATATTCAATAATTTAACAAAAAAGTGAAGTTAAACTTGTAATATCAATCAATTTTGCAAAAAAAACGTAAGATATCCTAAATACTTATATTAAACTCAATAAAATAGTAATCGTAATCCAACTAATCTAAAGTTGGTATTAAAAACGCAAGCAACGCAACATTTGAATTCTTTTTTGAGTCTCTGGAATATGTGCTGGAGTGTCAGGAAGTATCGGACACGACACGTCAATATTTTTGAAGTGTCGGTGTTTCATAGGAATGAATTATGAGGATAAAAAAAGAATTTCCTTTTCACTCTTAAATTGATATCAAATAAGGAAAGAAGAATTTATTTTTTCTTTCTTTATAAATCTTAAAAAAAAATGAGATGAATCTTTTTTTTTCACTAGTAAATTTGGAGGAAATTTAATATGGTCCAGAATCATTTAATGATTGGATTCTCTCTCACAAGCACAATTTTTTTTTTCTTTTTGCCGTCCCAATTTGTTAGAAGGAGCACACAAAAATAATGGTCGAGGTACACGGAAAATAATCTCACTAAGTTGATATCAAATTTTTCTTTCGTTTTCACCTCCAAAACGTCATATCAAACAAAGTACTAGGATACTTTAAATCATTATACAAAAAAAAGAGAGGATACTTTATATCAAACTTCTTTGTATTTTCAGTAAGTAAATATTTCTTCAATATATATATGCAACAATCGGCTCCAATGATTCTTCAAATTTGATGTTAGGTAGTCATTGTGATTTGTGACGCAATATCATCACAATTGGGCTAATAAACCGGCCCAAATGTAAAATATCATATACATATAATATAACTAACAACAACGGCGAGTGGGTCAGCTCGGAAATTTCGTCTTGGTTGTGTTTATCGTCGCCATCGACGACTCTGCTCCCAGACACAGCGACACAGCTGCATTTCAATTTTCCAATCAAATCCCTCACAACAAAACCCTAAATTTCCGATAATGTCATCCTCAGCGGAATTCCTCTCCAACTTGAAGGAGGCAGGCCAATCCATAATCTCCACGCGCCGTCCATGGCGGCTGTTCCTTGACCCCTCCGCCCTAAGCCTCCCTTCCTCTCTCTCCGAAGCCACCACGCGCCTCGTCCAGAACCTCACACACTTCCTCTTCAACTACACGCTCCTCGTTCTCCTCGTCCTCTTCCTCGGCCTCATCTACCACCCCCTCGCCATGATCGTGTTCCTGGTGGTGTTCGCCGGGTGGTACTTCCTCTACTTAGCTCGCGACGACGAGTCTCTCACCTTCTTCAACCTGGTGACGGTAGACGACCGCGTCCTCGTCGTGGTGCTCGGCGTGGTCACCGTGGTGGCTCTGGTGATGACCGGCGTTTGGCTGAACGTGATTGTTTCTCTTGTCGTTGGTGTTGTTGTGGTTTGTTTGCATGCTGCATTGAGGGGTACTGATGAGCTTGTTGTGGATGATCACGATTATCAATCCCCTTATGACCCTATGCTTAGTGACACTGCTGCTGGTGCTTATACACGTGTTTGATCATTTGGATTCCATTATTTTAACTGTAGATTTCTCTAACAGTTGATTCATATATAGATTTATGATATACCTGTTTTCCACCTTCTCCTTTTTATTGTGTTTTTCTAGTTGTTATAATTTTTTTTTTTATATATAATGAAGAGGTGTTAGTGATAGTGAACATGTAGGTTTGGGGTTTTGTGGACACATCTTTAGTTGGGTTCTTGGTTGGACACTTGCTGCATTGCGTGAATCTTTGCGTGTTGTTGTTAATTTGTTTAATTTGGTATATATTGTTGGATGATATTATGTTTCTCTCGGTCATTGTTGTCTGAGAAAAATGTGTTCTTCGGTATTAGTATTACAATTGATCAGCTTCACTGGTTGAAAGGTTTAAGAAAGGCACATTAGCATGCAGAGATGGCCTGATTTATTACTGGTTTAGCTGGAAAAGTATTTTGATAAATGTGAAGACTGTCTTCTTATGTGAAACTCATTGATGTCCAAAACTGAGGAAGTCCTCTATCTGTGAAGTGAATTGTGAAGGTTAATGTCGCTAAACTAAATATATCTTTCACCTTGGATTATATGATGACTACTTGAGTGATCTTTCTCTGTTTTGTGTTTCTTCAATTTATTTATTCTACATAACTTTGTTCTGTGAATTAAGTTGAAAGAATGCATGAATTGAATGTAAGGGTCACTTCCACCTGCATAATTAGGCTGTATGGCCAGTTTCTTTCCCTATTAAAAGTATTAATTAGTAGGCAGCCTTTGGCCAAGCCCATTTCAAGTATGTGCGACTCCTTATGTTTTTAGATTGTAAAAGTTATGAGCACTTGGGTTTGATTTCCTGTAGAATACTTGGATGATATTATTGATTAGTAATTTAGTTATCATCCACAAGAATCAGAGACATTTGTTTTTAGTAATCCTGTATATTTTCTGATTGTATCTCTGTACTGTGTTCTACTAAGAATTGTTCAAATAATCACCAAGCGGATATAGATCCAAATGGCCTAAATTGGTATCGCTGTTGAGTGTAGGACATATAAGCTTATGTATTCTTATATTATATGCCATTTGCTGACAGCATTATGCCATTCCTAGGATGAGCTGGTTATTGTTGTAGACTATTGTATTATCATCGGGAACTTGTATCTTTATCAACCACGATTTTTAGTGCATAAGCATGTTCTTAAAATACCTGTTCTCGTGAATCTCTTGCGTGCAAGCTGAATTCTTCTGAAGCCATAACACATGATTTCTTGTTCTGAGTAGTTATACCATGCACTCAAACGTGAACACCCTGTTACACAGTAGCTATTTAACAGGATAATATTCAATTGCTAGTTCTGCAAAATTTTCACTTTTCCAGAAGCATTCCATTCTATGTATGTTGTTTTGTCATGTCAAAACTCACATTAGAGGATCTATTTTCTGGGTATTTTCTATTTGTTTCAGACTATCAGTCATCTATTTGGACAAAAGTCCTAAGCAGAAGCCCATATTAACTGCTAAAAGAAAATAAAAAGGAAACAGAGGATAAAATTTCTATTTCTCTAAGATGCATTTTAGGTTCTGGTGTTTCCATGAGAAAATGGTTTTGTTTGCACAATTTTTCCTTGTGTTTTTATTCAGTGAGCCTTTAATCTAATTTGAATAGTTCAACGCTTGAATTCTTTTATTTTATGCTTGCGAAATGTCTCTATGCATGGGTCTTCGGAACAGTAGCATCATTGTTCTTTGCCTGTGCAGATATTGCAATTAACCCATGCGATTGTTCAAGAAAAAATTCCATGTTTTAGAATCAAACCACAATTATTCTTGTAGACATTTGTTGTGGTTCTCTCGATTTTTTCTTTATTTTTTTTGCCCTTTTCCCTTTTAAATTTACTTGGATTCATTGACCTTCAGTCCCAGCTGGATTGGTGCAAATGAATTGTTGATGTTGATGATTTTATTTTCCCTTTTAAACAACAGAATAAATGAAAATGATGTTTCGAATGATTATCTAAAATGAACAAAATGCTTTTTTTCAGATAGTCCAACAACTCCATACGTGTCATGTGGCTAAATTTTGATCTTCAGTGGGTAATAGGATTATGAGAAGCGAGAGGTTATATGTATTATTTTCTTTTCTTACTATCTCTTATTATCAAATCTTAACTGTTGATTTTCGTCAATTTAACGATTATAATTTATTGTGTTATATTTATTAATTAATTATTAATTTTCAATAAATTATGACCTTAGATTGGAAAATCAACTGTTAAGATTTAATAGTAAAAGGTAGTAAGAAAAAAAGATAGTAAGTATAACCTTATCCGAACGAGAAATGTAAAGTTATAAAAATCACTTTTAGTCACTAGAATTTTGGTTCCTCTTTAAATTCTCTTCTTGATATTTTAATTGTAGTCCCAAATAGTAAAGGTTATCCCTCTTTGGCACTTTTAATGTGTTATTAAAAAAAGTAAAAAAAAAAAACTAAAAAAGTGTTTTCAGATTTGAAAAAGATGAATGAATGTGAAGTAGCTAAAGAAACTTCAATGATATAATTTTTTATTATTTGTGAAAATAATACATTCACCTTGTTTGGCAGTTGCTAAGAATATTTATACAAGCTAAATCAAACTTAAGATGTCTTTTTGATGTGTGGTTATCTTAAACTACTGTTATCACTTGCCAACAAGCTTTTAGATTACATGGAATCTTACCCATTTGAGTTTGTCATCCATGAAGTAGCTACAAACTACAATTGGGCTATCATGAGTAAGGAAGACACAATTTTTCTCAATGGAGGCCACATGGAGTGTTCTTCTGGCTAAAGAAAGAATTATATCCTCTGTTTGGCTGAATGAATATAATTCTTCACTCTTCCAAGTCCACAGGCACACAGCCAGTACGGTGCTTTTTAAGTTAACACTCAACTATCTGCAGCCTCCTCTGATTTAATACTGCCCATCATCTATGAAGTATCTATTCTGACACGCATTTTCGATACATTTTCAATACATTCTTGATATGACTGTCAATTAGTCAATAGGATACAATACGTTTTCGATACGCGTATCCGATACATTAATTTTTTTTTTCCAGAATATCGGTGCTTCATAGCCCATCATTACATACCTTCTTTCTACCTTGACCCACCCAACACATTCTTTAACTTCGGTAAATCAACATTTTGTTTTTGCTTAATGGTACTTATCCGGAATCTGGAGAAGCACCAGGCAGCAGCCTAGAGTGGTTTTCACTGACGCAGAGAACTTTATACCATTCCAGTGCAGAAAGATTCACATTGATTAGCCCAGAAGGTAAGTGCTAGGGCCATAGCTCAAAATCTTTTGGAGCTACATCTCAATGTGACTTTTCAGATTATGGAGCTACATTTTTAGCATATCTGATTTAGCATTTACCACGACAAAATAAATCACAAGTAACATAAATATCTATATATGTTACTTGTGATTTATTTTGCAGTGGTAAATGCTAAATCAGATTGGCACCATCATTGAATGCTAGCAGTGATTTGTTATATATTCTATGTTTGACCGCGAAAGAAGCAACAAAAGGATAAACGCAAAAAATAAAAAGAGTGAGAGATATAAAAGCCTCATCAGTCATGACATAAAAGAAGAAAACCTATGTTAATATATTATTTTCTTTAGAACAAAAAATGAGCTATTGTAAATCACAGGTATATACCACACATCGCACTCAATCAAGCATATGTGGGGGCTTAAAGTAAACAGAAAATTCTTTGGAAAAGCATGTCAGGGTAGTTTACGAGTTTTCAAGCCTTTCGACCATATGAAAGGACCATAACAAAATCCTTAGCTGAGTTTCCAACAGAAGTCTGAATCATCTCATTCGCTGGAAATCTTTCCAACCACAGGTCAACTAAGTTCTGCAGTTTCAGTGAAGATAAAACTGGCTGACCTTGTAATGAGATCTCCACCTGTATGAGTATATATATAATCAGAAAAGCAATTAGCTTCTCAAAATGGCAATACATTGTCTACAAAGGTGTTATATTTGTCAAAGAGAGAAAACCAATTTACCTCAGCTTCGCTAGCAAGATTAAGCTTCTTCACAAGATACTTTTTGATAAAGGAAACAGGTAAATTACCATCCCTACAATAATTTGAAGATTTGTTAGTGGAACTTGTCGGTTATATCAGATATATGCTAGACAAGAAAGACAAATTAAACACAATCTGTACAGTTGAGTAATCTGTATTACTTTAGGAATAAGGCTCTTTCAAAGTTTGTTTATGAGTTCATCCACATTTAATATAATTTAAAATGTATCGAGATCTTAAAACATTAAAATTTAAGAATAAATACACATTTACTTGCTCAATTTAGAGACAATTTCACTTTAAAGGGTTTTTTATTTTTATTTTTATTTTCTTTAACAAAGAAGGCATAGTCATTCTGTTTCAATGTGGCACCGGAAGAAGACCTTTGCAATTATTAAAAATTCAGACTCATGAAATCATGATGCATGCTTTGAAGGTACCACCAGGGAAGATGGAACTTCAGTAAAGAACTTAAGTCTTAAAGCATATCTCAGAACAGGAATAAGATAAGTAATATGGGCCTATTAATGATTCCAATATAAAATATGAGAAAGCCACCCTGCGCTGTAGATTTTTGCATAATAAAAATATTTCTATAATTCAGACAATCAAGTTAACCAATTCTTTAATGCCCCTTCCCTTGATCAGAACATGTTTAAGTAAGAACATTTACAGTAATTTTGTCTTTGATTCCTGCTGACAATTCTGTGGGGGAACTAAATATCATTCAGTATATAGAATTTTACACTAGATAGAACACATTGCACTGTCTCACAAGATGCTTATCATAAATTCTTGTTTCGTTTCAATCTTTATTAACTATAGAATACTAATTAAATGCAGATTATCCAAATCTGAAATCTTACTTGTAGTTGTAGCAATATAATGAGTACTAAGTAACCACTTAACGACTTAATTAACCACAAACGTGGTTAATTGTTACTAAACTGTAAAGAATAATTTTTGTAATTTTCCCTAAAATATATTCCTCTGGTACCAATACTTGGGATTACACGGCCTCATTTTAAGTGTTCTTCTGGTCACCAAAACAAGCAAAAGCTGTATATCTCTTGTGTAGGAAACGGAAAAATAATAAGAATAATAATTTAAGAAATGTCCCAAAAACTGAAAATGCTGATGTGCGTTTATCCGAATGATATGAAACATACATAGAAGTACAAATCTAGAACAAGCGATGCTCGAGGAAGGCACTGAAAGTATGATTTATAGCATATAGAAGTGAATATACATAAACAGCTCTTTACCAAAGAAACATCAACCAGATAATGACATGTTCAGTTCAAGCACTAAAAAAAAAGGAATGAACTAAGAACATCAGAAGCCAACAAAAACTCATAACAAATAATGGGAATATAAAACTCACTTAACCCTTAGGTAGCAGGAAGATATTTGTGGCAATCGTGCACCCACTTCGCTGTATCCAGAAATTCAAATATCAGTTACTCAACATTTAAAATAAATAATAAATTTAAAGAAATCAACATTAAATAAGCCATGAAAGGTTATCTCACTTCTCTTCAGAAGCAACCAAAGAGAACCAGATTGGACACAATTCATTGTTGCTTTCACTGTTTGAACCAATCACAGATTGTGCTGGAACATTCAAGTCCTCAGAGATTCTGGCTGTTCTTTCTTGGGTGCCCTGCAACCTTTTAACTTTGATGGATTCTGATTTTGGATGATGAGTCGACTCATTGCCACTAGAGTCCACAGCCACTGGAGTCACATGATTTTCTTGCATGGTGGACTTATTACGAGACTTGTTTTTGCTTTCAGCTTCCACCAGGGAACTTAATGGCTCATACATATCAGCCTTTTCTTCCCATAACTCAGCATTGTCGCCTGAAATCTTGTCTGGCACTATTTGTTGACTGGAATTTGATTTTGAAGAATTCTGCTAATCATAGTAAATAATTGTACAGGAAATAGTCATACACTGAAGCATATATTTAAAGATCTTTCAAACAAAAAGTGATGACATAACATTAGTATCCTGAAATATACAGTGGAACAAGAGAAATCATAAACACATCAATGATTAGGAAAGAAATTAAGCTTTGTCTCCTTTACATGAACTTTGGTTTTGGAAGCCACGTTGAAAGTTTCAAGTATGGGATGATCATCATCTTTCTTTTCATCTCCCGTTACTTTGTCAGCTTGACTGGTAGGAGTTAATTCACTTAGAATGAATTTTTTCCTTGCTGCAGCTTTTGCTCTTCTTGCAGATATAATTGTAGAAACTTCATCCAAAATTTCTATCTCACAGAGTTCATCATCTTTCTTAACATCTGCCACTTCATCAGGTTTAGAAGCAGAAAAATCTGATTCTTGTGGAGTGAAAGCTTTTCTTGCAGCAGCTTTGGCTCTTCCTGCATTGGCTTTTAGCGAAGATAGAGATTTCTTCTTTCTTTTGGTTAGCAATGTAACTGAAGGAACATTGTCAAGTGCCTTAGTATTTTTTCCTTCAGAGGTGACTATTTTCTCCCTCAAATCTTGCAGGCTGTGATCTGGTCTGTAGATTTCCAAGACAGAGAAATCAGGCAAAATTCTGGAAAACTCCACAAAAACATGTTCATGGTGATCCTAGACCACTTAGAATGGTACAATAAAGTGATCCTAGGCCAATTACTTCGCAAAGAGAATAATAGACTAATCTCTCAATCATTCCTCAAAGAAGAGTCATGTTCATGGTGACTACCTTAGTTTATCCAGTGGAGAACAACCCAAGTCTGCATTGCACACTGGACAGTGCTTCAATTTCCCATCTATTAGCTTCTTATCTATGCATTCCCTGCAAACTGTTATTGAACTCGAGATTTAGGCTTTCATTCAGAGAATGAGAAACAGAAAAGTAGATGGAAAAGAAAAACAATGAATGATACTCATTGCATAAAAAATTAAGAACAGAAAGCAAGAGGATGAGGGACATTGACACCTACTTTCTAGCATAATCATACACAAGTCTTAGTCCCTGAAACTAAATGGCTAAGCTAAGTACATACTCAAAAAAATGCAAGAAATGAAATAAAAAGCATAAAAAACAACAACCATAAAGAAGATATTATCTAATAGAAATATGAGGCTTATCAGTTAATTAAGATTTTCCTAAAGAAAAAACGTGTCCTCTGAATATATTAGGGCGTGCTTGAAATGAACTTCATGAAAAGATACCAGCATTTCAATTGAAACAACTTCAAAGATTTGTCATGCAAATAGCATACAGTATCACATTTTGCTTAAAAATTGCAGAACACTACAGAATGTTTGCCGGTTACCACATAAATAAATTTCCGAGTGGCAATGGAAGCTAACTCAAGTTATGATTAACAAAGAATTTCAATCAAGTCACTAGATAAGCAAGCCAAAAAAACAGAGTGATAAGGCATTATAATTTTCAAATGCAGAAAAGGACAAAAAGAGAAGGGGAAAAAAAAGATCACACATATCATGAGCTACAATAACCAAGATTCACGAAAGTTTCTCAGCATAAAAAATCTTTGACAAGAAGATCACAAAATTGAACAAAATATAGCACGAGAAACAAAAAAGGGTGGATGAGAAAACGAAGCACTTACAAGTATGCAAGCATTCTGATATAGTGGTGGCGTTTCTGAACCATTTGTTACACAAAAGACATGTCAAGCATGCCGAGAGCTTCGCCCTATTGACCTTCAACTTTAGGCTTGTCATTGTTATTGTCTTTACATCTGTCTCTGACAATGACACACACATAAACAAACCCACACAACAAAAAACACAAGCACCTCCATGCTCACGTACCCCACATGGTGCATGTCACCAAACAAAGAGCAATGAATAAAAACATGCCAGTTTTACATCATTCTCAACGAGAAAACCGCGAGAATCACAAAGAAAATAGCTGCCACTGCCAGAGAAAAACAAAGGGTTTCAAGAATTGTACACAATCCAATGACGGGTCAAATCTTGTTATAGAAAGAGGTCGAGGAAAACGAAAAAGTGGGATTCTTGGAGTATCGATAGTGTGTCTTGTTCGATTTGTACTATGGTAGTGGAGATTTTGTTTTCATCTCTATGAGACTCAAAAACAACGTATTCAAGAATGAACCTATACGTGTGTGGGCGTGTACCAACAAAAAAGAGATGTTACCGTGAGAGAAGAAACGACATGTCAATGTGTTATGTGAATGAATGGCTTCGAAGGGTACACAATACAGTACAAATAGGGTCAGGGAACTAATCCCATTCGGGAACCCATGGACTTTGCTTAACCTTTTTGTACGGTTTGATTTGATTCCCTCGATCATAATAATTATTATGTTATAAAAGTTAAATTTTATTTTTTATACATATATTAAAGTACGTGGAGTTTATGTAAGAATAATAGTGAGAAAAAAATAAGTCTCACACATTTTCACATGTATAGAAAATAAATTTATTTATTATAATATGAGAAATAATAAATCCTATTTATAAAGGGAAAAAGAACTCTTATGTTGTAGGCGAGCTCTCTTCTCATGTTAGTGAGAGTTCGTTTTGCGTGCAATAATTCTTTTGTTTTCTTTATTTTTTATGTGTGGGCCCCACCATAACTTTGAGTGTGTAGGAGATTTCCTCCTCTCCAATAGCATGAGAAAAACATTGCCCATTTATAAATATATGTTACTTGTTCTTTTTCTTTTATGTCCTTGTCCAGTGTAAATGTTTTTCCTTATAAAATTAATCATATTTTAAGTGTTAAAATTGTCTATCTCCTTAAAATATTTTTACATGCTCATAATTTAAAGGATTAATTATCATATATATGATTTTAATGTTTTTACATTAAATGTAGATAAGTTATCTATATTCACTCTCAAAATAATATTGTTTTAGATTGAAAGATTAAAAAATTATAATAATAAAGACTATTATAACCTTGAAATAAATTATAATTACAAAAATACCTTAATTTTTATTCCATAACAACATCATTTTGGGCTAACACATATACCTTATTTGCGTTGATCATATATATATATATATATATATATATATATATATATATGAGGTAAGATCCTTTGACACCAGTGTCAAATTTCAAATTTGACATCTTATCTAAGAGTCATTAGATCAAAAAAGACCAACGACTCTGATTTGTAAACATGTGACACCATTAATCTTTTTTGATCTAACGTCTCTCAGATGAGGTGTCAAAGGATCCTACCTCTATCTATATTAGCAAATGCCCTCATATGACTATCGTATGCAATATATGCTCGAGAGACTCAATTTTCTATTGGTTTCTTTATCTTAAATTATAAATGATATGCTCTTGGCAACAGAATTAAAACAAAAATATATTTTTGTTGGTGGTGTTCCTCCATTAATGATGAAGTGCACCTTACTAAATATGGTGCAGGGCTCTAGGCTACCCAACCACTTCATTATTGTGGAAGATTTTGGAAGAAGGTGGAGGGTCCCCTCACCTTATATAAACCACTTGAATTCTTTATAATAGGCTACCTAAGTAGATAGATACCTCTAGAGAGAAGTTTGAGTAAAACCTCTTTAGAAAAGTTTGAGAATACCGCCATTATTGATGATGCTTGATTGTACCTCTAGTGTAACTAGGAGAGTTTGACATCTTTGTAATCTTTCTTTTGATATAGTGAAAGATTTTATCGACCCGTGCTCCAGAGTTTTTATTTCTTCACATTAAAGGAGGTTTTTCACGTCAAAATTGAATTATGTTCTCTCTCTCTTTCTGCATTTTTTGTTTCTGCTGCATGTTGGTTGACCTGGTGATTTCAGGCCAACCTGATAATGCCGAGATCCGAGCACGACGTGCCGACTTTCGCACGCTTGCACGCCAAGTTTGAGGGACCGACTTGTCCCAACAATTTTGAGTGACTTGTTTTGTGTTAGACTATATAAAATGTCGAAGTTAATTAATAAAATCATTAATTTTTTAAATTATGTAAATGTTATTTTAAAACATGAAGGGAAAATTAATGAAGTACCTGCATGAACCGAAAATTTGTTTGAGTTTTATTCGGATTATGTCTTCCCTTTCTTTTTTAATTAATCTTCGCTTGAATCAATATCTTCTTATCTGTCCAACTTTCGAAGGTGTGACTGTTTCGCCAATGGAGCTTTCTGTAACTTCATCAGAAAATCATATAGATAAAAAAAAAATTGCTAACTTTTGTGGAAGATAATTATTCTATTAACTTTTTTTTATCTTTAATTTATACCCTGTTACTGCCAAGATCTTAAATCGCCTATGTACTTCATCTTTAAATTAAGTTTAACTTTTTTTAGAAAATTAAATAGAAGGGAAATTAGCTTGAAAACAAAAGATAGCATAAGATAAGATAAATGGAGTATCTTAAAAAAAATTGTCACATACGCTTTTCCACCTCTGATTACTTTATTTACCTCAATTTCAGTTAATTTTTGTTCAAAATATAAAAATTTCAACATCATCCCCCTCACCCACCCCACCCGAATCCTTGTTATTCTCATGAGGAGGATTTCTATCAGATCTAACTTGAAGAAAAGAATATGGAGAGAGAAAGAAAGAGAGACGTACCTAATCAGATATATCTTTGATAGAAATGGCGTGCACTGTGCAGTTCTGGATTAGAAGATGATGTGCGTTCCATGTTTGAGATTTGTTGGTTATGCCAAAATGCAACGTACGTGATATTAGTAATGCAAAGTGTGAAATATATTTGTTTTATCAGCGACTCTGACAATTAGTTTACACGTTGTTGCCCTGCATGTAATGCATATACCTTTTAATAACAGTTACAAGACTCAATTAAATTTGCCATTAAACACTGAATAATAACAAAACAAAAAAAATCAGAGAATAAGAATATCACTATCCAAAAACCAAAAGGGATATAAAAGTTGAAGGTGGAATCAAAACCGTCTCTATTTTGCACTAAAAAGTTTGAATAAAAAAAATCTTGTGTTCAAATTTAATTGTTCTTTTTAATATAAAAATTTAAATTACATGCCCATCATAAAAAAAATCATTAAATTATGTATATTATATAAATTTTGTAACATCTTGCATGCCTTGACCTAGTTCGTTACCTCTCTATTGTATCAAGGACTACACATAAATACAATCCATAACTCAATATATGTAGAAAGAGAGATCTCAGACCATATTTTATACGGTCTTCAAATCAATGACTTCAATCAATTGTGAGAAGAAGGTTATGGGGAACCTTAGGTAACAAACAAATTATTATAATTGTTTACCTACATGAGAAAGTAAGCTTCAATTTTCTAACGAAAGAAAAAAGTAAATTGTAAATTATTTCCTTCATGAAATTGTAAATTGTAATTTCAAAATAAATAACTTGAAATATTTTTTAATTAATATTTAATTATTAATTTTATTTGAGAAATCATAATTATATAAAATAAAATTTAGGAAAAGTTAATATTTTTATATTTATAAAACCACAAGGGGTTTAAGTGATATATTTTTGTGACCACAATGAATGTAAGTGAAAATTTGAAACCACGAGAGTTAAATGATAAATTATTTAAGCACAATGGGTCTAAGTGACAAGTTTATAACCACAAGCGATCAAGTGATAAATCATAAAATCACAATGGGTGAAAATAAAATTTTTCTTAAAAATTATAATAATGATATCATTCCTAAAAATCACATTAGTCAAGTAAAAGCTAATGATCAACAAAATATGTGATTCAATTAATTTTCTTACATAAGAAGACTCTACCTAAGGAAAAAACTACAGGCTCATAGTTGAATTGGTTAACATACAACTTTCAAAACTATCAAGGCCATCACAAAAATATAAGAAGAAACACATGCCTTAGTAAAAGCAATACTTACAGTAATACTTGTATGTCATGATCAAACATAACTTAATCATAACAATGAAGTAATAAAATGTTTCACCAATACATTTATAACCCTTTCATAAACAACATTACCATAGCAATCTATTAATCATACACATTGTTTTTGTAATGGTGGCTCAAGCCATTACTTTTTGTGTGTATGGGTGACTATCTTTAGTGAGCTCAAACCATATCAAGGTGTCCCTTGTCCATAGCCTTATGTATTTTCCACCCTTATCGGGACAACAACACCAAGGTCATCCCCAAAAATCAAAAGTTCATGTCCACTCCAAAAATTCCAGATTTTGGATATGTTAAAGTAGTCATCTTAAGCTTTCTAAGGTCGTAAAGCTCGTTTAATTTGGACTTACATAATTCAAGTTATGAAACTCCCAAGACAATTATTTAGACAGGGTTATTGCAATCAGGATAATAACTTCACACGATTTCTAGAAATAGGCTCCATAAACAAAAATTCCTAAAATTTCTTTATTTGAAAGGCTTTATGTCAACTTTGCATAGCCACAAGTTTAATTCCATTTGACTCTTGTGACTCAAATTATAGTTAAAAGAGCGCAAAAAAATTGTCTAAGATCCCAAGGACAACGCCTAGTACTTAAAATTTGAGTTGCAACATTGATTCCATACAATCTAACATTGGCTTAATGAGACCCATTGTCTTAAATCAACTCTTGACCATTGTAAAGAACCTTGGGATACACCACCCCAAAAGCTAGCTCAAAGGGTGAGAGTGCCCAAGGCCTTATAAACTCCACATTAGTTGCTCATACAACCAATGTGGGACTATATATCTCAACACGCTCCCTCACACGAGAGCC